TTATGTTGGTTTACCCCTGGGAAAGCATTGGTGTCCAGTTTGTGCCCAGCTACTCCTATCTGCTGCCTGGCTGCATAGTGGATGTTCTGCTCTTTAAGGTAGGATTGCTGTTTTTACTACTTATTGGAAGTATTGCTTTGTCAGTTTGTCTATTTATCCCTTTGGGGAATTAGGTCTTGGATTTTCCTTTGGTTCTTCTTTATAGTATGGATTCTCCCTCTGCCTCTGCAAGATCCCTCTCTAGAAAACATAGGTGAGCCATTTCTTAATTTTATTGGGGGGGGGTGTTGTTAAAAGAGTGCCATACTGAGCCTGTAATATATGTCATATATGGCTTCATTCCAGCCCCAGCATTCATTTGGATTCTCCAGCGAGAAAATCACGGGAAAAGTCAAATAAATGCATTAATTGTTCTTCGCCTGCTCCGAATAGAAGGAACCTTTGCAAGGAATGCTTGTTGGAAGTCGCTGATGCCCCCAGTAGGAGCTCTCCACAAGACGACCTTAAGCTCTGGATTTCTCAGGCTATTGCTGAGGGCTTTATGGCTACCACGGGATCTAGTGGTCCAAGTAAGAGACGCAGAGCGGAACCTCAGTCTTCCAGCTCTGATGAGGACCCTGATGTCTGGGAGGTATCAGATGAAGGTGAGGAGGAAGCTGAATATGCCTCCACGTCTCTTGTCTCCAGGTCTATGGATAGACTTATTACCCTTCTCAGAGACACGCTTAGTCTCACTGAAGAAAGATCTGAATTGAAGGAGGCTGACAGGTTTTTTGAGGACCTATAGCCTAACAGACCTACTTTCCCGGTGCATGCGCCAATCAGGGATATGATCCTTCAGGAATGGAATAAGCCTGAAAAGAAGTCCACCTTAAAAAATAAGTTTGCGAGGGTTTATCTGTACTCTACAGTGGATTGCTGCCTGTGGAACTCAGTTCCTAAAATTGACGCTGCAGTGATCCATATGGCTAAGAAAATTACACTGCCTATTGACTCCATGGCATATCTCAGGGAGCCTATGGAGAAGCGTATGGATGGAGACCTGATTAAAGACTACTTGGCCCTAGGGTCCGCCCTTCATCCGGCAGTGGCACTGACGACTCTCTCCAGAGCCTTGAAAGTGTGGCTCGCTAATCTGAAGGACGACATTGATCAGGGTGTCCGTAGGGAACATCTGTTGGAAAGCTTCAAGGACTTTAGTCTAGCCACGGAATTCTGTTCAGAGGCCTCCCTGGACATCACTCGCATGATTGCCAAAAGCATGGCCCTGTCTGTGGCTTCTAGAAGGGCCTTGTGGCTTCATTCGTGGGGTGCTGACTATGCTTCTAAGGCTTCCCTGTGTGCACTTCCGTTCTGAGGGGATCTCCTTTTTGGGAAGATTCTGGAAGATGCTATTCAAAAGCTGCTGATGGGGAAAAAGGCGTTTACCTCAAGCTGGCAGGAAGAGTTTTTCCCTCCTCCTGGAAGACCAAGCGCTTCAAGGATCGGTCCTTTCGGGACAGCAGGAGCTATAAACCAGGAAGGGAGTTTTCCAGGAATTCTTCATGGAAATCCTATTCGCACTCATCTTCCAATAAGGCTTCCAGAGGAAGGGGTGCTAGAACCTCAGGGAAGACCTTCTGAAGGTCCCCAGGCCGAAGTTCTTCTACCCCATATGGGCCAGCAATATTTCAGACCTATGGGTCACTTCCATCGTAAAAGAAGGTTACAGAATAGAATTCTCATCTTACCCGAAAACTGCATTCTTCAGAAGGTCAAAGGTGCCGGTAGGCATCAAACGAAGGGCCATGAGGTCCTGCATTTCTCTACTCCTGGAACAAAAAGTGGTGAAGAAGTTCCAAAACAGGAATGGTTCCAGGGAATTTACTCCACGGTCTTCTTGGCCCCAAAACCACAGGGAAAGTGGCGTCTCATCTTGAATTTGAAAGGCGTGAACTCCTTGCTCGACGTAAGGACGTTCAAAATGGAATCCTTGAGGACCATCTTGAAGTGTGTCAAAAAAGGAGACTGGATGACCTCAATAGACTTAAGGGACGCCTACTATCAATCTTGGGTCCATCTCAAGGAATTGTAGCTCAACATACGTCGGTGGCAATGTCCATTCTTCAAGACCATGGTTGGCTCCTGAACGTGGGAAAGAGCTCCCTCGTTCCTGCACAAACTATTGTTTTCCTGGGTACGGTAGTGAATACCGTGTCTGCACATGTGTTCCTGTCTCCAGAAAGGGTCACGAAGATCAGAGACAAAGTAAGGAAGCTGCAAGTTCTCGAAACTGCACCTGCAAGAGAAGTCATGAGTCTCCTGGGTTCCTTGACTTCAACAATAGGCTTGGTGAAGTGGGCTTCCTTCTCCAGTTCAACAGAGTGGAAGCGGATTGGGAACAGATGATATCTCTTCCCCTTCCCGTAAGGGAAGGCTTAAACTGGTGGAAGAGCGAGAGGAATTTGACAACAGGCTTCTCGTTGGAAGACCCCCCTTGGAAGGTTATTACAACAGATGCCAGTTCTTTTGGATGGGGTGCCCACTTCAGTCCTATATGGACTCAAGGGAACTGGACCCGAGAAGAGAGTCGCCTACACTCAAACTTAAGGGAACTGAGAGCGGTTTACAAGGCCATTTTGAGATTCCTGCCGAGGCTACGGAATTCTTGGGTTCTAATCAAAACAGAAAACCGAGCGGTGGCCTCATATGTGAACAACCAAGGTGGCACGAGGAGCAGGTTGCTCCTGGAAGAGCTGGCTCCCTTAATGGCTATAGCCATGACCTATCTTCAAGGCCTGAAGGCGATTTATCTCCCAGGTTCGGAGAACGTAACGGCAGACTTCCTCAGCAGAAAGGAAATTCTTCCGGGAGAATGGCAACTTCACCCGGCGATCTTTGCAGAAATTGCTCATCGGTAGGGCATGCCCCAGATCGACCTGATGGCATCATCTCAGAATCACCAGGTGGAGAATTACTTCTCTCTCCATCCGGACTGTCAGGCACTGGGCCAGGATGCTCTCTCTCTGCCCTGGTCGTTCGATCTGGGGTATGTTTTCCCTCCCCTACCCATGATACCCAGGTTCCTGCGGAAGGTTTGGTTGGAAGGCAAGAAAGTCATTGCCGTAATTCCAATTTGGCCTCGGAGGCCGTGGTTTCCCCTATTGGCCATGATGAGCCAGGAACAACCTTGGCCTCTTCCAGTGATGGAGGATCTGCTATCGCAAGGCCCTGTATTCCATCCTCATCCGGAATGCCTCAAAATGGGGGTATGGGTCTTGAGAAAGAAAGACTCCAATTACTAGGTCTCGCGGAGGCGGTGATCATTACCCTTCTGCTCTCCAGAAAGGCTTCTACTTCTTCATGCTAGCATAGGATCTGGGATGTGTTCCAAACTTGGGCATCGTCTCATAATGTGGACTTTCGGCATCCTAGCAATACTGAAGTTTGGAGTTTCTGCAAGAGGGCCTGGACAAGGGCCTTAGCCTCAGCACCTTGAAGGTTCAGTCTTCGGCACTTTCAGCTTTGTGCAACATCTCATGGGCTTCGGATCCTTTGATTTCCAGGTTCTTCAAAGCGGCCTTCAGGTTGAGGCCTCCTTCCAGATCTACTACCCCTCCTTGGGACCTTCCTATGGTGCTCAATTATCTCACTGAGGATCTGTTTGTTCCTCTTGAAAGTTTGGATGCTACTCTCCTGACGTATAAAACTTTTACTTCCGCTAGAAGGATTTCAGAAATTAAGGCATTTTCTACATCTTCTTGTTTATGATTCTACCGAGATAGGGTTTGTCTGAAACCAAAACCAGAGTTTCTTCTTAAGGTAGTTTCTCAGTTTCACCTCTCCCAAGAAGTGGTTCTTCCATCTTTTTACCCCAACCCCTCTTCTCAGGAGGAGGTTAGATGGCAACGTTTGGATGTCATGAACTGCTTGTCTGCATATCTTAAACGTTCTGAGTCTTTCCGTAAAACGGACCAACTCTTCGTTTTGCTGTTGGGAGCAAGGAGAGGTAAGGCGGCTTCTTTATCTACGTTGAAACGTTGGATTTCTCTGATAATTAAGAAGGCGTATATCTCTAAAGGTATATCACCACCTCGGGAGATAAGAACTCATTCTACTAGAGCATTATCAACTTCATGGGCTAGCTGTGCAGAGGTTCCATACGATGATATTTGCAGAGCAGCCACCTGGTCTTCTCCAATGACATTCATGAAGCACTACAAACTTGATGTGCAGTCTCCTTCCACCTCCTTTGGACAGAGTATCCTGTCTACGGTCTCTTTATCCCGTTGATATTAAACTTTTCTTTGCTACATGTGTTTCAGTTTTGTGTAATTTCTTGGATTATTATTCCCACCCTATTTTTCTGTGAAGCTTGGGTATTACCCATAAGTGATGCTGCCATGATTAGCCAGGAATAGAGAAAATTTATGACAAACTTACCGTAATTTTCTTTTCCTGGCTATTTCTCATGGCAGCATCAGGGTTCCCGCCCATTCTTTATTTCAGCTTTATAATTGGACTGAGGTGTAGGGGGAGGAGGGACTCCTTATACCTATCAGTCTGATTAATTAATCTAATTAATTCCTGTCCTGTGACTGCTAAGGGAGGAGCTACCCATAAGTGATGCTGCCATGAGAAATAGCCAGGAAAAGAAAATTACGGTAAGTTTGTCATAAATTTTCTCTATTTCAGAACGATTAACCCCGGTCCTGCCAGTGATTACTATACAGATCACAGGCTCTTGCACAGCAGCACTTATTTTGCCCTCTGTTCATTTTTTTAGGGGTTATTTTTTTTTTGTCTTTTTTTGTGACAGGTCACCAAGTAAAGTGATTGTGATCATGTCACATGGGTCACAGAAGTCAACCAGCGCTGAGCAGTCATATGCCACCCTTGCACTAGAGTCTGACGCATCTATGTCAGACTCTGACCCTGATTTTGACCCTGCCAGGTGCTCAGATACATCATTACTAGATACAGTGTCTGCTGCTAGTGATGTATCTAGTTATGTTGTATCTGTGCCTGCTAGTCCCCCTGCCAGAAGGAGACATGCTGCTCCAGCTGGCAGAACTGCTGAGAAATGTGCAGTGCCTTATCGCCAGAGGCCAGACATCCCATCCTTTACTGCAAATCCTGGCATTAATTTGGATGTCACAGGATTTAGCCCTCGGCAGTTTATGGAGGTGTTTCTGGGCAATGATGTATTGGGGAACATTGTCGCCCAAACTAATTTATATGCCCATCAATTCCGAGCTACAAATCCTGACTCTTTTTTGGCAAAGCAGCAATGGGCCCCCATCGATGTGCCAGAATTTAAAAGATTATGCTGATGGGCATCATAAAGAAGCCCTCCATCCGCTCCTACTGGAGCAGTAGCTCCATCTGCTCTACCCCCATTTACTCCCAATGTATGTCGAGGAAGAGGTATGAAATGATTCTGCATTTCATGCACTTCAGCAACAACAGCCTGTGTCCCCCTAGGGAGCATCCCCAGTTTGACAGGCTGTATAAAATCCGCCCCCTGATTACCCACTTCGCTGCCAGGTTTGCAGAGGCTTATACACCTGGAAGGAATATATGCGTGGATGAATCCCTGATGAAGTATAAGAGAAGGCTGGGATTCAAGCAGTATGTTCTTTCCAAGCGCTCTAGGTATGGTGCAAAGATATATAAGCTCTGTGATAGCGAGACTTGGTATACTCAGGCCTTCCGGATGTACGAGGGAAAGGATAGCCACCTTAACTCTCCAGGTTACCCAGAACTTATGGGAACCAGTGGCAAGATTGTCTGGGACCTGATATTCCCCCTGATGAACAAAGGGTACTGTAACGGATCACCTGGCACCCCGACTGGGCACCTCCGTTGAAGGATGCTCCTAGCACTTCCTGAGGACTCCAAGCACTGCAGCAGACACCACAACCACCGAACCGGAAAAGCATATGAATGCTGTATACAGCCGAATAGGAAAAACCATGCGAATAGGTTTACACTCCTAGCAGTCAAACTGGAACAGCATACAATAAATCCTCCCCCAATAATGAGACGACACTTCACTTTGAGGGTTAAGCAGGAACTGACTGGACTGGCACATACAGCATCTTTTATTCCCAATCCACAAACTTAGTACTGCCCACAGGGTTTTACATAACAACCAATACCACACGTACATTACAGAAAGACACTCCCACACAAAATCCTCCCCTCTGCCTGTGATATGATTACTGAACACAATGGTTAATCTAATTATCACATTCAAAGAAATACAGTTTTTCCACATTATTCATAACTTGAAAAGTATGCATCACATTCACATAAAACATTTACATTTTCAGAATCAACATACTCCAAATACAAACATGTCAAAATCATACATATTGGTCCAGTGGTTCAAAAGATAGATCGTAGTTCTTTGTGACCAAATGCAGCATGGCTTTTCTGCCCAAAACCAGTTCCACAGAGTCTTCTATCCTGGAGATAATTGGGAAGTAATCCAATTATCTCCAGGACAGAGGCAAAACTCAATTAGCCACATGGCAGCAAAAGACAATAAAACACATAAAAACATAACTGTGCAGCCATTGCACAAAACAGGTACATTCAACATATCCCCAGATAGATCAGAGCGCACATTATTACTGAATGGCGCTCAGAGCAGACACATATAGTTCAATTGCCATGGAGCCAAAGTCTTTCATTATACGAATGGGCTCCATGGCATAGCTATCTGGATAACACTGCTCACATGGGGAAAGTACCGAAAGACCCAGTTTTTGGGTCTTTGCAGGGGAAAATCCATCCTTTCAACATGGGGCCATAGTCACAGGGCAGGAGGCCGGCAATCAGTCTTCTCCAATGCCCAGTGGCGAGGCTGGTTCCGCCACAGGTACCACTTGTATACTGACAATTTTTACACAAGTGTCCCTTTGTTCAAGCTACTGTACTGTTTTGACATAGTAGCTTGCGGCACAGTCAAAAAGAACAGCACAGGTTTCCCAGGACAACTTGCACGCACCCGGCTACGAAGGGGGGAGACCTCAGCTCTGCGCCAAGAGGAGCTGAAAAAGAAAGGAATGCACACCAACTGATACAATAGTATCTATCTAAATATATTTATTATAATACAATGCAATTATTACATACACAAATTGTAACAATCTGATAGTGACCAAATAGGCAAAAAAAGGCTAAACCATATAATTACCAAATCTCACAAGCCTATATGGGCAGAAACACGAGTCACAAACAGTCCCCCAACGTTTCGGCTCCTCCTGGTAGCCTTTATCAAGGGTAGCTATATCATAGCATCATTATATACACATATACAACTTACTAATTACTTACAGCTGATGGCCATCAGTGATGTCACAAAGAGCCAAGACCGGAAGTGACATCATCACTTCAGATCATAGCCCTGTATAAAGAATTAAATAACATACATAGTTATTGTACATTCCCAATGTTATTCCCAAACTGACTGCCTCATTGATGCAAAAAATGTCCCACTACTGTACAATCCACGAACCTTCTCGCCAGTCTAAATGAAACGCGCATGCGCAATACAAACAAAAACGATCACCACATCGTCCACCGGCACCACAAACATACCAACATTAATATACTCCACATAACCCCAAGGAAATACCAAGCACTAAAGCTCTACATAAACAATAACAAAAACGCGCATTTCACCTTATTTTGCTCGGCCAATCATACCGGGGTTCCCTTCCTACGGAAGCCTCCGAGATCCACATCTAATAGAAAGTCGCATCAAAAGAGCGCCGCGCCGCTCGCGCATGCGCATCCCCCAAATTAAAGGAATGTATGCAAATTGTCAATACACTGACCAGCTCTCTTAAAGGGAAAATATCATAAACATAAGAATTACTTCCAATATAACATAATAAGTGTATAAATGGTCCTGTAGTATAGCAGAACAAATAAATAATATCTATAACAGTGAAAAATACCTCCACCAAAATATTACCACCAAAACAATATATAATTACTATAGTAAACTAGTGTTTATACATCCATTATATACAAAACATACATCCAGCACCTACCGAACGATCAAATCACTCCCCAAAAGGGAAATGTAATACAAAAGAATCATATATCATACACAACAAACAGGTACATATGTATTTTTTAAAAAAACCTTCTATGTACAACTACCAAATTTTATTAGATCTACTACCATCATCTCGATACTAACTCATCATATTATTCAACAACTTTTGGTAACATCAGCATATAACGCTTCTTCTTGAATGGTAAAAAACCTACATATCCATTAGCAATCATATACATAAGGACAAAAAAGTAAATCTATACTGTATAAAATACTAGTATAGATTAAAGGGGTAGCACAAAAAATATACAACCTGTAGATAATACAAGAAACTTCCTTCACAAGATCTAAAATATAAGAAAAATCACACAATAGTGAAGCATGTACAGTCAATGTATAATACACTCCCGGAGGTAGAGAACTTACAGGACCAAACTGTAGATCTGAACTTGTCTCCCTTCCATAGGGTATGTGGATAAAAGGTTCTTCTCTTAGGAAGCTTGTATATACGGACCAAAGGTGCAGATTCAAGACGCTCAATCCTCAGAAGAAAAAGAGGTATATAGAGCAGTATTGTAGATAAAAATTAATTTATTTATACAAAATGCACTTACATCAAATAAAGTTCATAGCAGCATATCACCACTAACAAGTGGTACCCAGGAGAAGGAGTCTCTCTGTAGAAAAATATCCAACGCGTTTCGTCTTTTGAAAGACTTCTTCAGGGATAAAGAATTAAAAATTCTGTTTTCTTTATATAGCCTTCACCATTTGAAATTGCCGCGGAAAATTCATTCACTTCCGGGTTCGGACTTCTCGGTTTTTGATTGGACATCCATCGTGATCACTTCCGGTGGATGTAACAAGATGTTTTTATTTCCGCGTTCCAAGCTGGAACGCATAGCGTCCATAACGTGCGGCTAGATGTATTCATTTCCGCGTTCCAAGTTGGAACGCATGGCGTTCATAACGTGCGGCTCTATGCCATGACACTTCCGCGTTCCACCGTGGAACGCACGGACAGACCCAGGCGCACAAGTTGCATTTGGGGCACCGAACGTCCCAGAGTGGGACACAGGGAGAAAATACCAATGACCATCTAGTTACATAATATACAAAACAAAGAAATATAAAAACAATAATATGTCTGTCAAAATATAGGTAACATCCAAGTACTATATAAAACACAAACTAAAAAATACATAATATAAACATGTATATGTATATAGAAGAATAGAGCATATATATATACCAAAGTCCCTATCTAAAAATACATCCATATCTAAAAACCATACCTATAAAGATATATATAAATAAAGAAAAAAACATAAAAATTCAAACATGTTACATAAATAATTACAAAAGGCCCGCCAGATCAATATCTTGATTAAGACCTCTCTTAAGGGTATTAAGTGTGTAAATCCAAAAGGCCTCTTTTTTGGCTAGATCATTAGTTCTATTTCCCCCTCTCCAATGGGGAGTTACTTGATCTATACCAATAGCAATAAAGGTAGACCAATCAAATAGATGACAAGAATTACAATGATTTGGAACACTATGTTCCGTTTTTTGGTTTCTAATATTATTAAAATGTTCCCGGAGTCTAGTGTGTAGGGTCCTGGTGGTTCTTCCCACATACTGAGCTCCGCAACCACATTGTAAAAGGTAAATCACATATGTGGATGTACAATGGATAAATTTCTTAATAGTATATGTTTGATTAGTATAAAATCCTACAAAAAAGGTAGATTTTCTTTTTTGATAAACACATGTGGAACATGTTCCACATTTATGAAAACCTGGAGTTTTTGTGGATTGTAAAAAGTTTTTCGAATTTGGACCTTTAATCAATTTTGGTAACAAACTAGGTGCCAATTTATTTTTAAGGGTGTCTGCCTTCCTATATATAACTACAGGCCTTTCTGGAATTTTATCTCCTAAAACATCGTCTCTTTTTAAAATGGCCCAGTGTTTAAGGATTTTTTCAATTTTTTTGGCTTCAGAACTGTACTTGGTAATAAATGCAAAATCTTTGTAACTATAGTTATTTTTGTTTTTATTTTTATGGTTTACATTTTTATCTTTCAAAAATTCTGTACGATCTTTGTCCTTTATTTTTGCAATATCATCTTGTATATGGTCTATATTATATCCTTTTTCCACATATCTGTTTTGTATTAATTTTGATTGCTCTTCAAACATTTGAACACTAGAACAATTTCTTCTCATTCGGGTTATTTGGCTTTTAGGGATATTGTTTAGCCATACTGGATGGTGTAAACTAGTCTTTTTTATTGCTGTATTGCAATCAGTTTTTTTTAAAGAAGGTTTTTGTGTTCAAAGTGTCATTTTCTACATATAAAGTTAGATCCAGAAAATCTATGGTAAACGGATGAATGTTATGGGTAAAATTAAGATTATAGTCGTTAGAATTAATACTTTCAATAAATCTTTCTAGACTCCGGACATCTCCTTCCCAAATAATAAGTACATCATCGATGTAGCGCCGCCATAGGACAAGGCTCCCCCCCATACAAGGACCCAGCTGGATGCATGAGGCTTCCCAATGGGATACATATAAGTTGGCGAAACTTGGGGCGAACCTTGTCCCCATGGCGACGCCACATCGCTGCAAGAAAAAAGCAGTATCAAACCAAAAAAAATTCTTTTCCAAAACGAATTGGATACAGGACACCAAAAAATCGATCTGAGTGGAGTTTAAAACATGTTGTAGGACTAGAACGTCTCTGATAACCTCCAAACCCTTAACATGAGGGATATTGGAGTACAGGGAGGTAACGTCCACTGTAGCTAATATATAAGATGGTTTCCAAATGAATGACTGTAAACTTTGAAGAATATGAGTAGTGTCTTTAACAAAAGAAGGACACAAAGATACATAAGGTTTTAAAAAGAAATCCACGTATTCAGAGAGATTACACGATAAAGAGTTAATTCCACTGATAATGGGTCGACCTGGGGGGGTCGTTACACATTTGTGGATTTTGGGGAGAAAGTAAAAAATAGCTGTTTTACAAAAGGGATTAAAAATATACTGAAATTCCTTTGATGAAATAATAGCTTGATCCAAACCCTTCTGGAGTAAAGATCTCAAATCTTCCAAAAAAGGTTTTGTGGGATCATTAGCAAGCTTTTTATATGTAGACTCATCTCCCAAAATTCGGTAAGCTTCTTGCATGTAATATTCCCTACTCATGATGACCCTTCCACCTCCTTTATCGGCCTCTTTTATAACCAAATTATAATTCTTTTTTAATGTATTTAGAGCTTGTCTTTCTTTATTTGTTAAATTACATTTAGAATCTTTATGTTTCCATTGAATTTTGTCAAGGTCATTCTGAACCAAATCATTAAATACTTCTAAAAATCTTTCTTTTTCATGGGAGGGATAGAAATTAGACCTTCCCTTTAAAGATGAAGAAACATTCGGACAAACTTCTGTTGGTGATTCTATTAGTTGTTTATTGTCCTTTGATTCTAATTGGACATTCTCATTACGTTTTTCAAAAAAACGTTTTATTGTTAATTTTTTGAGAAATTTTTGGTTATCAAGAAAAAGATCAAAGGATTTTATTCCTGCGGTCGGTGCGAATTTTAAACCTTTATTTAATAAATTCAATTCATGTGTAGTTAATTCTATACCTGATATATTAAAAATGCCTGATGTATCTTTTATTGTTGTGAGTGGAGGGTTAGTGAAAGAAGCGGATCTTCCACTTCTTCTAGTTCTATATGTGGTCTTTTCTTTTTTGGGGAACTTAAAATCTGAAACCTGTTCTTGACATTTAGAGTATTTTCTTTTTTTAGGGATGGCTCCCTGTCTAAAAAAACCGAAGGTGTATTTTTGGTTAGATTGTGCGGTGCGTGATGTGCTTCCATATCACTTATACTATCTGGTCTAATTCTGTCACTTTTAACTCTGTTCCATTTGGTGTCTAGACCTCTATATCTTTGGGACTCAGAGTCAGAATGTGGTACAGTTCTTTGTACCGAATTAGTTTGTTCTTTTTTCTCCCTTTTATTTTTTGACCAGTTTCTGATTTTACCTTCCTTATAGTCAATTTGGTCTCCATTGGAGAGGGGGAAATAGAACTAATGATCTAGCCAAAAAAGAGGCCTTTTGGATTTACACACTTAATACCCTTAAGAGAGGTCTTAATCAAGATATTGATCTGGCGGGCCTTTTGTAATTATTTATGTAACATGTTTGAATTTTTATGTTTTTTTCTTTATTTATATATATCTTTATAGGTATGGTTTTTAGATATGGATGTATTTTTAGATAGGGACTTTGGTATATATATGCTCTATTCTTCTATATACATATACATGTTTATATTATGTATTTTTTAGTTTGTGTTTTATATAGTACTTGGATGTTACCTATATTTTGACAGACATATTATTGTTTTTATATTTCTTTGTTTTGTGTATTATGTAACTAGATGGTCATTGGTATTTTCTCCCTGTGTCCCACTCTGGGACGTTCGGTGCCCCAAATGCAACTTGTGCACCTGGGTCTGTCCGTGCGTTCCACGGTGGAACGCGGAAGTGTCATGGCATAGAGCCGCACGTTATGAACGCCATGCGTTCCAACTTGGAACGCGGAAATGAATACATCTAGCCGCACGTTATGGACGCTATGCGTTCCAGCTTGGAACGCGGAAATAAAAACATCTTGTTACATCCACCGGAAGTGATCACGATGGATGTCCAATCAAAAACCGAGAAGTCCGAACCCGGAAGTGAATGAATTTTCCGCGGCAATTTCAAATGGTGAAGGCTATATAAAGAAAACAGAATTTTTAATTCTTTATCCCTGAAGAAGTCTTTCAAAAGACGAAACGCGTTGGATATTTTTCTACAGAGAGACTCCTTCTCCTGGGTACCACTTGTTAGTGGTGATATGCT